TTGTTTTCAGTGATGTTAGCAGGATTTAAATGTATGTCATTTTGGTACCCCCCCCGTAACCTTCATAATAGTTTAATTTTTATGGATATGTTATTCTCTTAAAAACATTTATTTTGAAACAACATTCCCTTCTTTCTTAACAACACTAAATAACATTTAAATTAAACACAATTTTACTAGAGGGTTAGATGCCAGAATTCTTCACAGGGAAACATGCTTAGTATCCATTCTTTACATATCTTTATAGGTTTTTTTTTTTTAAATATATATTCTCAAGTCAATGTCAGTGTATTGAACCTCCCCAAGAGGATGTACAGCATTGTATTTAAAATTCTAAAATGAAAATATATTGCTTACAATTAAAAGAGGAAAGTGCACTGGATAGTTGGCTTCAAGTCAAGCAGTAATAAAGTAACAGCATAGCAAGGTTTATTTCTCAAGAAGGATGCATATCTGTGCATATGGTGGTGATACAGCGCCTTCTAGAGGACATGAAGCTCAAGAATACTGTACTACCCTGAATTTCATTTCTTGATTCAGTAACGGTATAAATTCTAACACCAGTTGATTTAAACTGATTTCTTCTTTCAAGGGAAACATGGATACAGTATTTTAATGTTATCTATCCATAAAGAATTGTCCACTAACACAGAGTGCAAGATTGCTTCTAGCTCTGTATCAGCTATTGTCTTACACTCTGTTATGGAACAAACTAATCCCATGGGTGGAAAAAAAAAGTACACAGTAGCAATTCTGATAACACATGGAAGACCAAACACAGAGAAGCGTAATATGACAATTTCCTATAAAGTATCAGAAATACAACAATGCATTGGCATGATTTGGTTTAAGAAAGACAGGCTAAGAGAACTGCCTCTGAGAATTAACATAGAAGGGGTGCAGCATACGAGTCAGAGAAATATGGGATTCCAAAACATGGTTCAACAATTTGCCAATACAACATCTTCACACAAAAAAGCAGAACAGAAAACAAAAACAGGTGATATAGACTGATGCAAAAGGCCGAAGCCATTCCTATGCATGCCTCATTCTTTCCAATATTGGAGTGTTAGAATTTGAAACTCTTCAGGGGAAGGATGGACAATTCCTAAACTGTTCAAATACCACCATGGTTTACTGTATTTGCTAATCTTTTCCCCATGAGACGGTCCCAAAGAGGCTATTGAATAGGGCCCCTGTAAAGGCATGATTAATTCTGCACAATCAAAGGTAGCCACATTGAACCATAAGAGCAATGGCCAACTTTCATATTATTTTTCTACCTATACTGGGCTAATCAAGAGATTACAAAAGTGCAAACTTTCCAACTATGTTGTCTTCTCACTCTTGCATTGATGGGATTCATTTAGCAGAACTGCTGCTTGCCTACAGTTCACTGAAATCCTTCAAAAACGAAGAGCACACTGGTTAAATGGTCCCAGATGTGCATGTGGAGCTTTGTTGAGCTTGACACTTTGTTCCTCCCACGTCCAAATCCTGGCTATGTCCCTCTCTTTAAACCTCATGATCTTAGAAGTCATAAAAAGGGGCTGTGGTAAGGCAGTGACTATAAAAATGCACCAAACGGAAAAGCCTGGTTCTGCTCATAGAGTCATTTGTTTAGAGACAGCTTGCAATTAAGAATGCCTGACATCTACAGTTACTCTGTTTCTACTTTGAACTGGGCAAACTATGAGAATACTATCTTTTGAAACTTTGTAAAATGCTCCGTCCATTCTTCAAGGTACTTATTTATCCTACTGGAAGCTGTATACCAAGGGCCCACACTGGACAAAACACTGTGATGATAGGGGGCCTAAATAAGCCATTGTTTTGTAAATGTCGTATTTATAGTACAGTCATTTCTGGTAATGCTGGCTGAGATCACAGCCCACCCATATTAGGCATTGTGCAAACACATGGTTGAAGACTGACTGTGCTGCCAAAGGACAGGAAGGGGAACAGAACTAGAAAGCTCTCCACCACCCAGATAGTTGAGTAGGGAGGACATGGTCTACTCTTCACCCACCCACAATCTGCTCTTGAATTTCTGTCCATAACTGTTGTGTACAGGAAGAAGGGGGGGGGACCCTCCAGTCAGAACCTCCTGCAGATACCATGACTCAGAATCACTCTCCCAGTAAGAAAGTGGGGAATAAGGAAAATTTGGCATGTACCAAGTCAATGGCATTCTTATCTGGAAGTGACGAACAAGGCAGATTACTGCCAGTGGCACACTGTATTGTGGTTTTCACATCTCCACCTCCTCCATCTCTTTTAGGCTTTCAGAGTATCCTGTGATCTCAGAAACTAACCACAGAGCACAGCTTTCCTGCACAAGTTCCATTAAAATGAACAGGGCAACAAGAAACAAATCACCTAACTTTCGTCATCGTTTAGTCGTGTCCGACTCTTTGTGACCCCATGGACCAGAGCACGCCAGGCCCTCCTATCTTCCACTGCCTCCCGGAATTGTGTCAAATTCATGTTGGTTGCTTCAATGACACTGTCCAGCCATCTCATCCTCTGTCGTCTCCTTCTCCTCTTGCCTTCACACTTTCCTAACATCAAGGTCTTTTCCAAGGAGTCTTCTCTTCTCATGAGATGGCCAAAGTATTGGAGCTTCAGCTTCAGGATCTGTCCTTCCAGTGAGCACTCAGGGTTGATTTCCTTCGGAATTGATAGGTTTGTTCTGCTTGCAGTCCAGGGGACCCTCAAGAGCCTCCTCCAGCACCACAATTCAAAAGCATTAATTCTTCAGCGGTCAGCTTTCTTTCTAACTTTAAGAATGTGCAAATTACTCTCAGCTGTCACATGAGAAATGATGCCAGCAATAATCCTCGTGTCCTCATATTATTAAGTTTCACAATTGGCTGGAGAATGGGAATGAGAATGGCAGAAAGAAAATATTGTACTGTAAGACACATTCAGTGTTTGGGGCTTGAGTCATGTGTATTACCAATGGATGCTGTGCCACTACATACAAACAACAGAATGGGCCACAGCAATAATAAATGGGTCTTTCTTTGAGGGCAGGTTTCCATCTGCCCTCAAGGAGACACTCATTAGGCCCATTAGAAAGAAACTTAATATGGCGGCAGACAGATAGGCAATTATAGGCCTGTCGCCAATGTTCCTTTGATGAGCATAGTGGTTGAGAGGGTGGTCACTGATCAGCTTCAGGCCCACTTGGATGAGACAGATGCCCTGGATCCATTCCAGCCGGGCTTCAGGCCGCGCCACGGTACAGAAACGGCATTGGTCGCCCTGTACGATGTCCTGTTGAGGGAGGCTGACAGGGGCAAAGTGTCTCTGTTGGTCCTCCTCAACATCTCAGCAGCCTTTGATACTGTCGACCACGGTATCCTCCTGGGGAGGCTCTCCGAGTTGGGAATTGGTGGCTTGGCGTTAGCCTGGCTCCGTTCCTTCCTGGAGGACCGACCCCAGAGAGTACAGCTTGGGAAGAGTGCCTCGGCTCCGTGGAATCTCAATTTTGGGGTCCCACGGGGTCGAGTATCTCCCCAATGCTGTTTAACATCTATATGAGACCACTGGGTGGGGCCATCAGGGGGTGTGGAGCCTCATGTCATCAGTATGCTGATGAGACCCAACTTTACATCTCCTTTTCACCAACTGCAGGTGATGCCGTCCTGTCCCTCCAGCACTGCCTGGGGGCCGTACTGCAGTGGATGCAGGAAAATGGGCTGAGGCTGAACCCGGACAAGACGGAAGTTCTGAGGGTGGGCGCCCTTGGGGTTGGTGGCCTGGGTGGCTCTCTCACATTTGGGGGGGTGACCCTGGCTGCTAAGAATGGGGTTCGCAGCCTGGGGGTACACCTGGACCCGACACTCACCATGGAAACCCAAGTGGTGTCGGTAGTTCGCACCGCCTTTTTCCACCTTTGGCGGATTGCCCGGCTGCGACCCTACCTTGACATGGGGGCGCTCACTACCTTGGTACATGCACTTGTAATCTCAAGACTAGACCACTGTAACGCGCTCTACGTGGGGCTACCTTTGAGGCTGATGCGGAAACTTCAGGTGGTGCAGAATGCAGCGGCCAGACTCCTTACTGGAGTAAGAAAACACCAACATATTTCTCCTGTTCTGGCCAAACTGCACTGGCTGCCCATCCGTTTCAGCATTGACTTCAAAGTTCTAATGCTTACCTATAAGGCCCTAAACGGTTTAGGACCTCGATACTTGGCGGAGTGCCTGCTCGCACCAAGATCTACTTGGATCACCCGCATGAGTCAGGAGGTGAGGCTGAGGAGCCTGACGCCAAGGGAGGCCCAGAGGGAAAAGACACGAAGCCGGGCCTTCTCGGCGGTGGCTCCTCGCCTTTGGAACAACCTTCCTCCGGAAATTCGCGAGGCCCCAACGCTGGGTACTTTCAAATGCCAACTGAAAACATGGATGTACACGCAGGCCTTCCCTCCTGTCAACTACTGATTTCTTTGCTATGCTATTTATTATTTATTTGTTCCTGCACTATTTGTTATTGTTGTATGCTAATGTTTTTATGTTTTTTTAAAATTGTTTTTGATATTCTGTAAGCTGCCAGAGTGGTAGAATATACCAGATGGGCGGGATATAAATCGAACAAATAAATAAATAAAATAAAAATAAATACATAGGAACACAATTTGGAGATGCAAGAAAGAGGTTCCTGAGGATGATGGGTTAGGACCAAAACCTAAGACATAAAACAGTATAGCCTTCTTAACTAATGGCATGCTCATTAATAGCTGCTAAATCACTAGGAAATAGGGATTGGTATGGAAAAGGCTACAGTAGAAGACCTAAATATGTTCAGTCATGATTGCCTTAGACAAGTGTATTTTTGTTTTGTTTTTTGTTCTGGAGCAAAACAAAGGAGCAAATTGATTCCATACAAACCCTCTGCCTGCATTTCTGTAGTGGACAGGGATACCCAAGTGGGTAAAATCACCCACTGCTGGTATGTGGCCTTAGTGCAATTACTCAGATCCATTTCTCATTCTCTCTCTGTCTCTTCCCAATGATGACTGTAAAGCTTAAACCATATATGTTGTCCATCCATATATGAGTTAAACAATGTCATATTTTATACCCATTTTCTTTATTACAGTACTTTATATATTAAGTCAACTTATGAAAATGGGTAGCTGATTGGTTATCATGTATAGTAAAACATACTACTAAAATCAATGGCTCTTCCTTCCATTAAATCAGTCTATAAAACCCACGTCTGTTGTGATGCCACTGGCATATCCCTCCAAGTCGCCATATTGGTAAAAATGCTTAAGTGTGTGCCACTAAAAAAAGGTAAAAGTTCTTCCTCTGTTTACATTGTCACCATTTTGCCTCTCCCTTTCTGACTGCAAGCCCTTCACAGCATGGAACTATCATGGGAACTGTTGTTTCATGCTTTATAAAGTAATCCACAGAATACTAGATAATGTGTATAAAACATTAAATAAATTATGTCTAAAATATTTCCAATTTATTTGTGATGTCCCCCACAGTGAATGAAACACATCAAACATAGATGAACTAAGTTTGTCTGAACCAAAAGAATACTCTTGAAAAATCAGGTAACCCTGTAATTCAGGCAATTCGAGAACTGGGACCTTGAGAACACACCAACTTTCTGACGACCATCGAGTTATGCAACTATATTGGGGACATGTCTCCTGATTAACAGCTAAGCATTTTTAGAGTTACATCAGCAGGCTAGAATTTTGCTTATGCTTAATCTATAGTTGAAACTTCAGTTTAATCCCATTTTTTCTTGATCAAGATTTGTAGACCAGATTAATAGATCTTCTGCTTCCTTCTCCCATTGTTCTATGCCATAACTTCCATATCGATGTCTGTCTTCCTTCTTAGACTCTGAAGCTGAAGACCTTTGAGATCCAGAGGCTTCCATTGTAGAAATTATGAAAGAGAAAACAAAAAGAATAAACAAACAGCAAACACAAATCCCCCCCAAATCTGTACCACTTGTGTGACAAACTTGGAGAATAAACATGTTGTCTTTGTTTTCAGCTAAGACATTTATTTAAATCAGTACAATATTATTTTTAAAAACAGAAATAGTATTTTAATGGAGACAGTAACAGTCAGTTTAAAGTAATATTGACCTTTTATGATTTAATACATGAACATTTTGAGAAATAACATGCATACACTGATTTGTGTATAAGACAGGAAGGGTGGTCCTTCAGATGTTCCAAGGCTGCAGCTGCAAGCATTCTTCCCCACTGACATTGCTGGTTAGAGCTAATGGGTGCTCTAGTCCAGCAACAACAGGAGGGCCAAATATTTCCCACCCTAGTCTAAAGAGGAGCAAACATTATACTCTGATAACCATTTATTCCCAGTGTTATGTAGTGGATAGTGTGATGGACTAGGACTCGGGAGAATGGGATTTGAATCCCCACTTGACCATGTAAATTCACTGGGATGGAGGGGGGGAAACCTGGTAAAATCACTGCTTAAATATCTCACTTACCTTGAAAGCCCTATCAGGGTCACTGTAAGTCAGTTCCAACTTGACAGCACAGAACACACACATGCTATTTGTTAAGCCTTTGTCTTGTGCCACTCTCCCATTAAATACTCTCTATAAAGAGGAATGAATATGATGCCTAAAGCCATTTTCACACATGGGATACATGGTTATTAATAGTGAAAAGATAGCTATAATTTATTAAACAATATTTCATTTTCCTAGTACAAATCCAAGGTCATTGGGAAGAGTTCCAAGGACTTCAGGTCAAGTTCTATTGTATACAAAAGTACAAATTAATTAGGCATACTGCAGTTCCACTGCAGACCTGAGTAGGGTGACAAGTGCCTTAGCTTTATCATGTCTGGGTGATCTGTCATGTGTTCTTTAGAGCAGTGGTTCCCAACCTTTTCTGAACTGCAGACTGGTGGGGGGCATGCATGGGGGCGGGAACCCTGCTTTATAAAGACATCTTTGAAGAGTGGTTAAAACTACACGTGCCTTAGAATGCTGCAGCCAGTGGTTAACTGGAAGCACATATAAGATGTGAGTAATTCTCCAACTGAAACAACTGCACAGGCACAATTCAAGGTGCAGGTAATTAAGAGTATGCAAAAGACTGCTTTCTCCTGTATGAAACAGTGTACCTATTGAGATCATCATCAGAGGGCCTTCTGAGTCCTCAGCATGCCCAGAAAAATAGCTACCTGGTACCAGGAGAGGATTCCGCCCCGCCCATGGCTATGCACAAAACCTGAAATACCTCTTGAACAAGGCTCATCTAATGACCTTCCATCGGGTGATAAAAAATCATTTCTTTTTGCACAGGAGTCTGGGCATAAATGGACAGTTACTGTTAGATGCAACTAGAGTAGGGCCACTGAATCAACTGAGCTTATGAAGGAGCTGACTCAACAAACCCCCACTGATTCAATATCATATTATCATGATGCTGTGAGCTTTGAATAGGATAGGCACAAGCCTTTGCTCACAGGCTTGATTCTTCACTGTTGGAAACATACTCTCCTTGTTTCTTTGTATCTCAGCCAACTGAAAAGCTACTTCTTGTTGCAATTCAATGTCAGTACTGTAGTATGGTGCCTGAGAGAGCCCCATCTACGGTTGCTGCTTCCTCCTCCATCAAAACTGAGACCGGATGGCCTTTAAGGTCCAAAGACTGCCTTGTTTTGCTCCACTTTTCTTACCCCACTACTCTCTTGCCTTCCAACTGCCTTTGTAACACTTTGCCTGACAAAAGGGTCTTGTGATTTTGATAGCATGTCTGCAATTTTGTGCTTGATTTCTTTCTTTCTTTTGATTGGTCTAATACAGTGGCTGATGTTAATCTCAAATGGTATGTCTAAATCTTACTCGGGGGCCTAAGTGCTAACAGGCTGATGCCATAGCAGTCTATTAAAAGTAGATATTGAGTTTTCATAATATCCAGTTTCATTTTATTTACAAGATTTTTTTAGCCGCACCATTATCAATGCGTATGAAAAAACAATAAAAATTTCCCACAGAATAGAGAGACAAACAGGCGGAAGAAGAGAAATGAAGAGATGAAGTTCAATAAATGAGAAGCAAAGACACATTTTTTACACAAAGTTAAGTGTCACAAAAGTTCCTGGTGTTACCTGGTGTTGGACTTAGGAAATGAAGACTGCCTGACCGGCTTTCAATCAATTTTTGTTTCTTATGTCTTTCAATAACTTCAGAGATGATGACTCGATGCCTGAAATCAGGAGGAAAAATCCTAAGTAAATAAAAGCTGTTCAACTTAACTTAGTTCATGACTAAGTTAAACAGTCATGTTCTAGCTGTTTACTAGGTTATTGGTAGTAAAATCTTAGAAGTTTCAATGACTTTCTGCTAGTTTTACCTGCAACAAAAAGCTTTCAGAGTGGCAGAACTGTGTAAAATGAAACATCACCAGGAAAAAGCATCCCAGCATTCAAGAATGAAGCAATGGGGGCTAATTCAGAAACACACTTACAACTCTGCTCACTTTTCAGTAAATAAAGCAGATTTTTAACTGTTAGGCATTAAGAGAGAGAGTCTCTCTCACACACTCTAAAGAAGCAGAAAGAGCTGGTAGACTCACATTCTTAAACAGTCACTGATGACTGCAGCGACTGCACCTCATTCCTGAAGCTCCACAGTAAATCACTGGACACATCATGCACTTTCCAACCTCTTCTTATTGCCACCACCTGCCACCTCAGCAAAGAGGTGATTAATGATGACGATGATAAATCTTAGAACTGCAGAATTGGAAGGGACCCTATGGATCATCAAGCTCAGCCCCTGTCAAGCAGGCCCAATGGGGGAATCAAACTCCCAACCTCTGGCTCCACAGTCAGATACCTGAATGGACCTCTGAGAAGTGAGGTGGCTTTTAGTCTCTGGTTAATAGCTGCATTACCTCCTTTCTGAAAATTATTTGGTAAAGCAGATTCAGACAATCCAACTAAGGTGGGTAATAACATATACTTTGAAGGTGCAAATTACTATATTATGTGCCATCAAGCTGCTTCTGATTTATGGCAATCCTACAAATTCATAACTCCTAGAAGGGCCTGTCTTTAAGTCCTTCCTCAGATCTTACGGATTAAGCGTCACAGCTTCTTTTATTGGGTTCATTCATCTTGTATTAGGTCTTCCTCTTTTCTTGTGACCAACCACTTTTCCTAATATTACTGTCTTGTCTTCTCAAATATTGTCTTCCCTATGCAGATAGGGAACTAGATGTCTTGAGATGTAGTTGTAGCAGTGGATGAAAAGGAAGTAAGAAGAGCCAATATAGGCATGCCAGGAGTATGTGTGATAAGAGGATGCAGGTGGTGCTATTGTCTTTTTTGCTCAGCTCTGGAATAGTCAGGATAACTTCTGTGCAGGTACAGAAGCCCATAAGTGTGAGTCACAGAGACCATGAAGAAGAAACTAGATTCAGCTAATTAATTCAACTAAGAAAATGTATGAAAGTTATATAAAAGGAACAGAACAGAGGACAGACACCATTGTGAATAAAGCAAAAGCAAAGTGTGCTGCGTATATAGATACCAGTGAGGATTGGTAAAAGCAAAATAAAGCAAAAGCAAAGTGTGCTGCGTATATACCGCCCCATAGTGCTTCAAGCACTCTCTGGGTGGTTTACAAGTTAATTATGCAGGCTACAATAAGACAAGTACATGCCTAAAACCCAGCAATTCTGGTCTATCCATACTAAAAAATATTAGACTTTAAAATGATACGCCAACTCTGGTCCATCTTCCATTCCTGCAGTGGAGACAGTTATTGTGTACTTTTGAAGAACATCAGACCTATGCAAAGGGACAAGAGGGGTTATTCTCCTGCCAGGTTTTATACTGTTTCTGAGTTGGCTTTGACTGACAGCAGTCCTGGGTGAATAGATATTCTTTTAGGCAAGAGATGGTAAGGAAGAGGGCAGAGCAATTAGGGACAGCAGTTGCCTCAGGAAGGTGAGAAGTAGATCAAGAAGAGGCTAGTCCTTTCCTGTCAAGACAGCTTTATGTACTGGAGGGGAGTGCAGGTCATTTGTGACCAGAAGGTTTGGAAGCTGCTGTTCCATTTACTACAGTGAGTTACAATGACAGTCTTGTCAGGTTTTGGACTGGCATACTGCACTTATCTTAATATCTACTTCAGTTGTGGAAGAACAACATACATTTTGCTCTGCTGGAGCTAAAGGAGTCCTAATGCTGATTTCTATCATGAAGCTGCAGGAAGAAGCATTTGCTTTCTTCCCAGTTAAAATTATCCTCTCTTCAAAGTTAGCATGAACAGAATTTTGCAAGAAGGAGATTTCAGAGTAGTGCTAATTTTTCTAGATCCCTTCCCCGTTAAAGATATGGCTACTGTGCAATTTTACAGATGAGAATTAACTCATGTATCAATGGTACTGACCCTGTGAAACAGACAACAATGTATGACAGTAACGTGTTTCACACACACAAGTCTGCATAATTTGGTTGTGAAATTAAGAGTGGTTAAAACATCTTGTTTGGTCACTATGATTTATTCCATGGTTTTCATGGACTGAGCTTGACTGTGGCCCAAACCCATCATCTATTTCCTGAAAGGCGTAAGTGGAAGAGAAGAGAACCCAGTGGTCTTTGGGAGAAGGGGGAATTCTCTGATAAACCAAAAGTCTGTACAAAGTGCAGCCTCTTTATTTATCCCCCTCCCCTTACAACAGAAATTGGACTATAAATGTGCATTTCATGTTGTTTTCTTTTTAGCCACATGGGGGCATAAATGACTCAGCTAGAAAGTTAACCAGATCTTTTAAAAAATGCAGATGTACTTAACTGCTAACAGCTAACATTCTACCAACTTTTCTCACAGTGGTCAATGAATCAGAAACTCCACACATTTCAGTCAGGTTGTGCCTATTTGCCACTGTCATATTGTGTGCATATGTTTCAAACTACAATGTCTATACACATGGAGAAACCAAGGACACCTCAACTAGATTTCAGATGCATCTGAAAGTGCCACAACTCTTTTTCTTTTTGTTAGGCAAATTTATTTCAGTATACCAGAAAATATAAACATTAAGAAAATGGGAGAACGGAAAAGAATGATTAAAGTTAGGTAAGTTGATTCCACTGAAATTGCTGTGCTGACACTGCAGTACCCATTTCATGCCCATTATAAAATCTTCACACTTGCAGTACTATTTTTAAAATGGAAAAGAAGATGCAATATTATTAAATTGTTGACAAACTGAGTATCAACAAGAAGGGGGAAGTGAAGGGGGCTGTATAATGGAAGGCATCATATTTCCAATGTGTCTCCATAAAATGTGTGCAAACACATTATTATTATTGTTATTATGATTATTCAAAAACAACAGGCACAGTCAAAATATCATATTTCCAATATGTCTCCATAAAATGTGCGCAAACACATTATTATTGTTATTATTATTATTCAAAAACAACAGGCACAGTCAAAATTATAAAAACATTCACTGGTTCAGTATTATATAACAAGTACAAGTTTTAACCAAAAAACTAAGTATGTTAAATATCAGTGCAGTATGTATGCTGTTCCTAATATTGCCATTTTTGTAGCTTTGATGGTGTGATTTCTGAGATTTGAAACTGTTTATTAGAACCTCTATATCCCATCTGGTTACAGGGACACCTTGGGCAGTTTACACTAAAAAAAAGACACAAAAATATAAAACATTATCAGATTAATGTAATAAAAAATTACAGCAATCAGTAACAGATATAAAACTCTATCATGTAAAATCAGACACAAAATCAAAATCAGAATTACAACATACAATGTAAATAAAATCAGCATAGATACAAACAGTTTAAGAGGCAAGATGGCCAACAGGAATAAGCACTGAAAAGTGCAATGCCTTATTCAGATGTAAATTCTGGAAAAACCTGCCTAAAAACATACCTTCAAGAATTGTTTAAAAATCCCCATAATCTCACACACCCCTCTTTTCGGGACTCTTGTCAGCAAAGATGGGGTCAACCAGGGTCAGAGGACATGAGTCACAGTGAGTAAAACTTGTCCTCTGCTCCAGGCCTTGGACACAATACTATCCAGATGCAGACAATGGAATTCCCAGAATCCTCTGTCCACATGGCCACTGGCCATGGTGGTTAGGATTGAGGAAGCTGCAGTCTAAACAAGTAACTTTGCCAAACCCTATTTGGAAAGAAGATGATTCCCCCCCACCCAACTTTCTCCCTGCAATGTTTTTTTACGACAGAGAGCTTGATTTGTTCCACAGCACACAATGGCAGTCTATATAAAAAGAATCTATCCTTCACTGTAAGACTTCATTTCAGGACTTCTTTGTTATGTTATGATAAAGAGGCAGACACAAGGAACTAGCTTTCATATACATGATGTCTCCTTATGGAAAATGCAGTATTCTGTCACAGGATCTGCTTAACCTGCCAGAAACACTAATGATGGGGAACATTAATTGGTGCACCTGCAGATTATCAAAACACATGACAACATGCTAACGTTGCACTGACATTAGCCAGATGTTGCAGGAGACACACCAGAAAGAACAAATGTTTATGATCAGTTGGTTACTAAGCGTATGGAAGTGGAATATCATGCCGCATTTGGGTTTCTAATGCTGTTTATTCGGTCCAGCAAGTGTGACAAACAATGTCAAAAATATAACCTTTTAGATAGGTGGTACCTGTTTCAATGCTTTTTATCATCAAACACTTTCTTAGAAGAAATCCAGATCCTCGTGATCACTGACCAAAAGAGACTAGTTCAGTAATAAGCATTCCTCTAAACATCAGAATGTGAAATAACTGCTTAAAACAGCTTGAGTGCAGGCTACTTGAAGGACTCTACCTCCTCATACAAGCTTTCTTGATGCTTAAGAGTGTCCGAGGAGGCTCTCCTCTAAGTCCCATTGCCAGCGCAGGCACCATTGATGGGGACATGAGAGAGGGCCTTCTCTGTGGCAGCTCCCAGTAATGGAATGTTCTCCCTCAGGAGGGCAGGTTGGTCATCTCTCTTTTATCCTTCCTCTTGGCCCCACCTTTTCAGGCAGGCTTTTAATCAATCATGAATGAGTTCCTTCATGCCATTTAAAAAATTATGATAGTTAATAACATTTTACATGTTTTTAATTATTCAACATATTTTAATCAGTTTCATATTTTTATTGTTTTTAATGTACAGTGTAACATTGCGCTTTTAATTCTGTTCTTT